TTATTGGTACCATCTCTGATTTAATTGGTTAAAAGAAAATGTTTAGCAATTAAAATTCCGATGAAAAAGAGAGTTCTAGTCGGGGAGGCGTTGACATGACCATTCAAAAGATGTGCCTTAACGTAGTGCCGTGCATTATTTGGGTCAAATCGAAAATCCGAACTGATCCGTATTATTTGGATCGGTTCTGATCGGATTTCAACTCTTTGGATCGGATTTCAGATTAAAGATTTAATTATTTTGAATATCGGATACGGTTTGGCTTAATTTAAATTCTAACTGATCCGAAATCCTAGGGTCTACATATAAAAGTGAAGGTGTCATCAATTTCATGGGTGGTCATTCAACTTTATGTTCATTCCGCAAAAGTCATTTTTTTTCTTTTTGTTACGTAAAAATCATTTAACTTTGTGTTCATTACCCAAAAATTACTTTTCTTTCTTTTCTTATACAAAAAATATTTTACCTTGCTCTATTTATCATAAAAGTCACCTTGGCCATATTTTATAATATTTTTACTTGAAAAGTCTATTATGTCATTGACATTATAAATTCTCTCATTTATGTATAATACCTTTTATATTATATACTATATAATATAGTTTTACCTAGGTATTTTACTTATAATTAAAATAATATTAAATTATTTTATTTATTATTTTATAGTATATCCATACATTTAATTTTTTCATGGTACTCAATTTGTTTAATCATATTCAAACATGAACATGTTTTAAATATAAAAAAAATAATAAAATATTTATTTTTTAATATTTATTTAAAATAATAAAACATAATTGTTTAACAAATGATAATTTTTTATAGTAAATAAAAATTTTAAAAGAAGTTTCAAAGATATTTGTGTTTAATATTAAGTTTTTTAAAGCTTTATCTAGTAATATTATTTATTTAAAGTATTAATCTGATGTGATATTTTGCTAAATGTGGGTATTTTATTTATTAAATTAATGGGTATGGCTTGGCTGATAAATCAATGTGCTTTATTTTTTTAATTTTCATTAAGTATATTTCATTAAGCATGATTAAGAACGTGGACTTGAGATTTGTTCACGGTAATGTTATTGACAAATTTAATAATGCTACTTATATATCTTGAAAATTAATATTAAGAAAAAATAAATAAATGTACGAATATATTATAAAAATAATAAATAAAATAAGATTAAGTTATTTTAATTATAAGTAAAATATATGGGTGAAAGTATATTCTATGTCATATAATATAGAAGGTATTACATAAATGGAAGAATTTATAATGTCAAAGGCATAATAGACTTTTCAGGTAAAAAATTTGTAAAATCTGGTCAAAGTGATTATTGTGATAACTGAAGTATAGTAAAATAATTTTCTTGTAACAAAAGAAAGAAAAGTGACTTTTGGGTAATGAACACAAAGTTGAATGACCTTTACGTAACAAAAGAAAGAAAAATGGCTTTTGGGTAATGAACACATAGTTGAATGATCACCCATAAAATTTACTAGATTTATCCAGCTATGTGTTGTGCGGCTCCCGCGAAGCGAATGAAGGGAAGCTCTTAGAGCTTCCGGGTGAGCTTACGCTTACTCTCAGCCTCTTTAATTGTGAGTGGAGATTCCCCTACAGAGAGCCAGATAGGGGAGACCCTTACGTCCGATTCAGAGGGATTCGATCTTAGTGAGAGAGTTGGGATTGAGCTTTCACTAATACTAATAGAAGAATTTTCAGTAAAGGAAGGAAAGAGCAGATTGCTTATCTCATGTCTACTTTTCGTGAAAAAATACCAATTGAAGTGGAGGGTTTGACGTTTTTAAGACCTCACTAATCAGCCAACCACGTTTTAGTTCATAATGAATGAACCCTCGTGCCAGTAGCCAACTCTGACGTGTCAGCTTAGTTATTCTCATCAAACCACTTACTTGATGTCTAGCTTCCTAACTGGTCAGTTCGTTCTTGACAGATCCGATCAGGTGTTCATAATCTGGAGTAAAAGGATTCGAACCTTTGCATGCCGGTACCAAAAATCGATGCCTTACAACTTGGCTATACTCCATAGGCTTAGTTGCTGCCCCCTACTTGCTCATTCACAATTACTACCACAAGAAAGTCACCCCTATCTAAGGGGCTTATGCGTTCCACGACCGCAACCCCTTTCTTCTTTTTAACTCGAACTATGATACACGACCTTCTTTTACGACGAGAGAAAGAAAGGAAATGAGCCCATTGATTCACCTATCTGAAGATGAAGGAATGAAAGCATTAAAGTCTTGATCCCCTGCTTAACCTGAAATGAAACCTCTCAAGCCAGGGAAAGATTGACCATCGGGTTCATTTCCGAGTCAGGTTTCATTTGTCTTACTTATCTCATATTCTTTCATCAAGAGCACGTAACGACAGAAATGAAGGCTCTCAATGGGGTCTAATACTAGTTGAGAAGCTTGCATCAATACTTGATGTTGATTGTCTTGTGCGAAATAATAGGAGAAGTTATTTAGACAGTAAGAGCATCAAAGTATATTTCATTATTTGGCAGCAATTAGTAAAAAATTTGGACAAGTCTTGTTTCTCTGAGTTTTCTTGCTGAGAAACACAAGTGAGGTTAATCATGTCCTTATATTTTTGCTCTGGCTTGGTATGTGATGTTTGAAACGGGTGTGCTTTTGCCTGTTTCTCAATCCAAGTATGTTGTGATCTTACATAGTTTCCTTATCATGAAAGATTTGAGTAATTATATGGAATGTTGTGTATGACTCGTTAGTTATAGCTAGTTATACTTAAAGTCTTTTATCTTAGCATCTTAATATATAAGGCTTACCATCCGAACCGTAATCCGAAATATTTATCCGATCCAAATATCAAAATCCAATCCGAGCCGAATTTAATTTGGTTCGGATTGTAATTTACCAAATCCGAAATCCGAAATTATAGTCCAAAATATGCCAAATCTGATCCATGAACAAGCCTATCTCAATGTGTGATTGATCAACTATAGGTGAATGTGTTGGGAGACGACCTCTCGCTTTTCAGCATTTCTTGCCTGAGTTTTGACCATTACCTGACGTCACACGAGAGGACCTTAAGCAGTGGTGTTCGATGACTTCGATCACTAAGAAATTCTATTGATTCCATGCACCGAAAGGAAAAAATTCATGTGTTATACCCAATATGTTGAATTGAGAAAGGCAGGAGAATGGAGGATGTAAATTGGGATTCCGAAGACATTGTTTGCTCCAAGTTGCAGGTTTCATTTTTATATTTGTATTTTCAAGCACTATTTAGTTTTATTAAGGTACTAAAGCTCTGTTTATATCATGCCTTTTTTCATTTTTTGTCTTTTGACTATCCATGTTAAAGGACAATATTACTCTCAATTATTGAGAAATTGATACGTGGGTCGAATTAAATCCATATTTTTGCTCTTTTAAGTGTTTCACTATTTAAACTCAGATTATTAAATAAAAGTTAACAAATGAGATCATATACTCCTTTATAAAAAGAACAAATATTATCAACTTTTCAGACATCGCGCAAGCAATCGCATTAGATAATTTGCCTTAAAAGAAAGAAGACATTGTTCGCCTTAAAAGACAAAATTGAGTTCTGAATAAACGAAAGTAATAACAGCGAATTCCCACAAGTAGGTGAATTCTCACAAGTAAGGTATGTGAAGGGTAGTGTGTATGCAGACCTTAACTCTACTGAGAAGGGTAGTGTGTATGCAAACCTTAACCCTACTCTGGAGGGCAGAAGGACCGTTTCCGATAGACCCTTGGCTCAAGAAAAGAAGCAGTGGCAACAAGCAATAACAACAGCAAGATATTAAGAAAACTAACGCGAAAGATAGCAATCAAACCACATGTAGTAATAGAAATCCAAGAACAAGAAAGATACCATGCTAACATTAATACTACCGTTATTGGAAAGAAAAAGAAAAACGCTCGACCACCTACTAACCTTCTACCCTAATTCTCGACCTTCACACCCTCCTATCAAGAGAAGCTGAAGTTACGTCATGTCTTGCCTAATCACCTCTCCCAGTACTTCTTAGGCCTACCTCTACCTCTCCGCACATCCACTAAGGTTAACCTCTCAAACCTCCTAACTGAAGCATCTATGCTTTTCCTTTTTACATTCTCGAACTATGTTAACGTTTTGGTAATAAAGAGATCTTAAAAAACAGACTAACTTTTTGAAAATGAGGTTAGCCGATTGATTAATCAATCTAAAAAACACATTAGTTGGGAGTAAATGTTTTAGCATCCAGCGTCATCGATCGCCCTAGTGGTCCGGTCCTTTTCCGGACCCTGCGCATAGAGGGAGCTTAGTGCACTGGACTGCCTTTTTTAGTCATCGATTGCCCAAAGCTAAAGATGCTTCTATACAGGAATCAATTGTAGACCAATCCCATTTCTGCCAAAAAGCAATGAACCAAAAGGATATGTAAAGATAGAGAAGAAACCCACTTATCACAAATACCACCTATCATTTCATTGTGTTATAAAGCAATAATAATAATAATAATAATAATTGAGTTAAAAGGCAACTAAAGGTGAATCTTCTCAACTAGTATATGTCAATATCATCAACTTGTGTAGGTGAATGGAAAGTTGGAAACAAATCTAGCAAAGATTCCCAATAATCAATTATTTCATGCAAGTAACCAGTAGAACAAGCAGAAGGATACTACATAAAAAATGGGTTTGGAGATAATAAGACAGAAAAAGTGCAGAAGATATATCAAGAATGCAGACCCGCATTATAGCGACATACCAAGATAAAAATGAGGGTGACACACATCTCCTTTAGAAACTTGGTCTTTGCATTGCCTTTATATAAAACAGAAACCACTCTGTGAAATAACTTTCATTTGAGACAAGAAGCAGGGAATATTCTTGAAATGTGCCGTCTGTATGAGGTAAAAATTTTAGTGGACTTAAATGTATCGCCAGGATTTGAGACAAATGGGAACAGCAAGAGAAACTCACTGCTAAACACTGTCAAATAATCAGACAAATCCAATACATATTCAGACCCCACTTGTGGGATTACACTGAGTTGTTGTTGTTGTTGCAATACAGATTCATAATGTAGAGTTAGTGCGTTTAGAATGGGTACAATCCTAATATATGTAATCCATGATACGCCTCCGGACAAATCTCCGTACATTAACACTGTTGCCCCTTAGGTTTACCCACAAGAGAAGACAGCTAATTCTCATAACATAATCAGAAGTTCGATAAATATAGTCACAGCTGATCTCATAACATAACATACTAAACTTGCTAACAACACGCACATCGTTTCTGGGAGGTAAATCTGAAAAACTACATAGAAGCCAAACAAGCTAAAAATATATCTACCATCTCCAATCACCTGTTAGGACTCGTAAATATTGCTTTGTCTTTGGATCATAACCACACAGAAATAAAGCTTCAAATTCTGTAGCAGAGATCTTTGACAGATAGCTCAGCGATCTTACCTCATATGAATGCACAACGCGCTTATCAGATACCTTTACTTTATGAACAGCTTCGTAAGAAGTTAAACTGACAGGTATTCGTGATCAGTGAACTGTATAGGCGTCTCCTATCAATCAAATCCTCCTTCATCTCCACTGCTATCACCAAACATGGCCGCCATTTTCATTGCCAAGTTTGCAGCCATTTCCCTCCTTTGGAAGTCTGGCATTAACCTCAAGCTGTCTCGAACATTCCCTATCTCGGACATTAACTGCTCTAAATTCTCAAAATCAAATGTTGTTCCTTTATCATCCTCTAAATCACCAGCAGCTACATCTGCTCTGGGCACTTCTTTTCTTTCACTTTCTCCTTCCAATTGAGACGCAGATGATGAGGGTAGCATTTCTCGTCCAATTAACTCGGTTCCACTCTTTCCATTGGGAACTGATTCCTTTGTTCCACTGGTTTCACCGGGAGCATCTGCAGATACCCATCCTAAATCTGTGTCATCCCAGGGATCAGCTGAGCCAGCAGATAAGATTTCGTATTCAAGTTCAAAATCAGATTCTTCATCTGACAATTCTGAAAGGTGAGCCACAGAAAAACATTCGGTCATTTGAATAGGCCCTCAAAAAGGTACAAAAAGAGTAAATTGCATCATCGACAGAAATATTAAAACCTTGCGGTTCAGGTAATGAAGGTTCAGTAATCCTATCACCAGACTTCAAGATCATTCCAGGCCACATATAAGCTGAAAGTGCCCCAAAGAGCCGTTCAACGCCCTGAGAATCACCATCCACAGAAAGACCTGTCAACAAAAAACATTCTTATTACTGAATTCTAAAGAATAAGAGTTAAAAAAAGTGGAAGAACACTTCCATTTTAGCTAGCATCAGTGAAAAGGCAAACTAGAACCAGCCCATGAATAGAATAAGAAGCGTACTCAAAGTTATGAACCGTGAATGGTTGCAAAATGGAGTAGAAGCTTTGCAGCAAGTCAGCAACTGATAATACAAAATGTGTTGTATCATGGATTACTCATGAATGATGCTAACATGGGCATTTAGGGCCAAGAAGTGAAATACTGGGGCACATTCCATCATCACATTACACATTCCTATTTGCCTATAAGTAGATCGCCAATATGCAGATTCATACAAAGTCATACCGAGGTACAAGTTCCAAGAAATATCTTTCTAAATACAGATTTCACAACCAATGTTATCAAAGGCGAAAAGCGCAAAAAAGCTCTAATGTCTGTTGGGGCTTTAAGCGCAAATAAAGCGGGAGCTTTAATGAAGAAAGGCGCAAATGGGGAAAAACTACAAATATGTATGTATACTCCAAGACTAATATCTATAAGCATGAATACCAAATATATGAACAAAGAAATTAAAGAAAATTTATGATAAATGAAATATCACTTGTTTAGTGTAGCCTCTTCGGGATTACGCTCATTGGCAAGGAAAAGTATGTCTTAGAGCCTTGATGACAATACTGAAGCGCCCGCTAAGCGAGGCGAAGCGCTCAACATGTTTTGAGCCTCGCTTTAGGGCTTAAGCGCCTTTGATAACACTGTTCACAGCAAGAGACAACCTTGGTATGACAAAAGACTCCAATTGGATCAACACTACGGAAACCGACAATGATTTATGCTGCCACATCTCATCAATAGTAGCACAGTAAAATAACTGGAATTAAAGTGAATAAAATTATCCAATGGGAACCTTCAGACACTCCCCTTAGCAATTATAGGACCATAAAAGCGGAATAGATGACCTTAGCCACCTAAATTCTCATCTTTTCACTCTTTTCTCCCGCATATAAGTGGATGCAGCAAAGGATTTTATCGTCTAATATAAATTCAAAAACAGGGGATTAAGAAAAGTTGTGACAAAGAAGGATAGAAATCTCATGACAAAAACAAGAGACATACATTTGTCAAAATCAACATTTGATGCACAGGCTTCAACATATTCTATGTTGTGTTCGAGGCACCAATCTAAGCAGGACTTCTTATACTCCAATGATGTATCATCATCTCCTAATAAGCTGCTTCCTTCTGTTTCAGAAATTCCAGAGTCCAATTCTATATAAGGTCTACCTGAGGAGTCTGCACTTTTTAACAGGCGTCGTCTGTATTCAACATGAGCTGAATGACCAGGAAGAAGGTCCAATTTGTTGCCAATGCACAACAAAATCTCAAACGTAAGGATGTCGGTGCGGGAAACCCAATCTTTCAGCGCAACAAAAGATGAGAGCTGCAGATGGTGTCAGACGAGAAGTCATCAGATTTCTGAAGTAGAGTGCATAATATCGTAAAGTAGGAAATGAAAAGAAGAGGAAAGAAAAAGGTCAGGCTTACATCACTAATATCGAAGACCAACACCAATGCAATAAGGTGGTCAAATGCTGGCAAAGCTCCAATGGAGAAGTCCTCATGAAGATGGGCCACCCAAATAGAAACATCAGCATTATAATACTTCGTGTTGATTGTCCACCTGACGAACAACTTAATGATGCATATTTGTAACATAAAAAGAAAATTCTAGATACTAGAGCATCTTTTGCAACAATATAGCTAATCAAGGGAAGGGGGATATACTTTGTTAACTTACGGATAGGCTAGGATGTCAGAAGATGAATCAAAGGCGTCTTCAGAATCAATTGAAAGTAGTCCTGCATTTAAAAATTGAAAATTATCTGGCAATGCTATATGAAATAGAATCACCTCCACAGATAAGAAAACTTTTATAAGTGGAAAACATGCACTGAGCCAGTGCTACAAAAGATAATTACAGAGAGCGCAATTCCCATAATAGAGCCGGGGGTCTATTGGAAACAACCTTAATTACACTGGGTATTATTGTTGTTGTTATGCAATTCCCCTAATAGATCAATTATTGCATCTACATCATGTACAATGGTAAGGTTGCACCAAAAAGCTAACAAAGAGATGCATCTATGTTAAAGGCTAAGAATGTTTCTAATTTTGTCTTCAAAATATCTGTTGTTTCTCTCTTTAGTCCACCAGATGGAAAGGGGTATGATAGTCTGAAGTCTTTAGGGACCTTTTGCTTAATCCCGATCTTTTCCAATGAAGTAGCAAGTTGAATGGGATTTTGGACTAATTAGCAAGTCACATCTCTGTCTTCTTCAGGACTCCACTAACAGGAAAAATTATAAGAATTGGGTCCTTCAGGAAAACTTTCGATTGGCATTATGGACATGTATTCAGAATCCACTCCATCTTAAGTGACTTACTTCACTAGCTTTGGACTCCCTTATATAAGTGATATACCAAAAAGTAGAGAAACCAAAGAACCAATAACAGACCAGTTTTAACTCCTAAAAAATAAGTACATTTGCAAAAGACTATTTCGTTTTTCATATACTTGCATAAGACTCTATTTCTATATACATCTTATGCTCGATTTTCCCCGTTCATGTTAATGAACCTATGGAATACATCAAAAAGACTCTTTTTTCCACTTCTGCATATGTATATGTAACAGCCCAATCCGCTAGTGATATTGTCCGCTTTGGGCATAGACCCTCACGGGTTTAAAACGCGTCATGAGGGTCTAAGGCATGTTTACTTATATACCCAGCATCTCTCCCGTGTTTTGTCGATGTGGGATTCGCCTAGGGTGTCACATACACCCCCGTCCTTGCTAAGTTTGCCCCACCACTGTTCAAGGTTGCACGCGGAGTGGCTCTGATACCATATGTAACAGTCCAGCGATATTGTCCGCTCTGGGCCTAGGCCATGTCTCATCAACCAGACTTGGTGTAGCCTCCAACCTTCGAACTCAAGGATACAGTGGTACGAGCCTATAGATCAGATCCTGTTCAAGTAAGGTCGTCCGCTCTAATACCAACTGTAACAGCTCAGCCCGCTAGTGATATTGTCCGCTCTGAGCCTAGGCCGTCACGGGTTTAAAACACGTCACTAGGGTCTAAAGCTTGTTAACTTATATACCCAGCATCCCTCTTGTGTTTTGCCGATGTGGGACTCTGTCTAAAATCTGGGGTGTTACATACACCCCCTCTTATAGACTCAGCGTCCTCGTTAAGATTTGCCCTACCGCATGGGATTCGCCTAGACTCAGCACTGAGGTTTGTCCCGCCTAACCGGGATTTGCCTAAACTCAGTTGAACTCTGACTCACCGTCGGCAAGGCTGACACAACAGTGGTTCTGATACCATGTGTAATAGCCCAGCCCGCTAGTGATATTGTCCGCTCTGGACCTAGACCCTCACGGGTTTAAAACGCGTCAATAGGGTTTAAGGCATGTTTACTTATATGCCCAGCATCTCTCTCGTGTTTTGTCGATGTGGGATTCGCCTAGGGTGTCACAGTATAACGTAAGATGATCATTTGATCTCATTCTCTAATTTTCATTTCTTTCCGTACCTCATCAATGATTTAAGCTTCACAAAAGAATGGAGAAGCCAGCTAAAAATCCAATATAAGTTTCAAAAGAAAACAAAAACAACAAAAAATAAAACCAACAAGAAAGATGAACCTTGCCCAAATAGGAATTACCCCAATTGAACACAAATAAACAAGGAATCATACATACAACTTTATGCATCAATCAACGTCTCAATGTAAAATTAGTTGGCTCGACAAGTATTTCGATCTCACATAATCCAATCTTCAACAACAAATTAAGCTTCACAGAAGGATGGAGACCCACAAAACGACATGGATGTGGAAATGCTTACAATCCTTCCAACGCCTCTACTACCCTAAAAGCAGCTAAAAATCCTAAGACATTTCAAACTTAAACAAAAACAAATGCAACAAGAAAGATGAACTCGACCCAAATTGGAAGTACCCCAAGTAAACTCAAATACATTAGGACTCACATAAGAAATTAAAGATTACAACTTTATGTATCAATCAACATCTCATTGCCAAGTTAGTTGGATTGACTATATGAATCATGAGTACGCAACAAGACGAACTCGATCGAAATTAAAATTACCCCAATTAAACACAAATACACCAAACTTCATATAAAAAGATTCAAAGATTACAACTTTATGTATCAATCAACCTTTCTATATGAATCATCTGTATTTATTCCTCTCTCATCCTCGTCTGTACTCTCTACTAGCTTCAGATAAGCCGCTTTCTTTGCTTCCACTTTATCTTGGACCTCTTCATTCCGCCACCAGCCTCCTTTGTGGCCCCCAGGATAGCCCTTCGTAACCCCTAAGACCTCTCCATTCCACCACCAGTCACACGTGGATGTGAAGCTGATACTCAAGTTATCCCAAGAAAGGTAGTTTCAAGTATCTCGGGTCTATTATCTAGGGTAACGGGGAGATTGACGAGGATGTCGCACATCGTATTGCAGCGGGATGGATGAAATGGAGGCTTGCGTCCGGCGTTGTAATAAGAATGTGCCGCCAAGACTTAAAGGTAAATTCTACAGAGTGGTGGTTCGACCAACTATGCTTTATGGGGTGAAGTATTGGCCAATTAAGAACTCACATGTTCAGAAGATGAAAGTAGCAGAAATGGGGATGTTGAGATGGATGAGTGGGTATACCAGGAGCGATAAGATTAGGAATGAAGCTATTCGGGATAAAGTGGGAGTGGCCTCCGTGGAGGACAGAAGCGGGAGTCGAGGCTGAGATGGTTCGGGCATATAAAGAGGAGAAACATTGATGCTCATGTCAGGAGGTGTGAGAGGCTGACCATGACGGGTTTGAGAAGAGATCGAGGTAGGCCAAAGAAGTATTGGGGAGAGGTGAATAGACATGATATGGCGCAGCTTCAGCTTACTAAGGACATGACCCTTGATAGGAAGGTATGGAGGTCGAGGATTACGGTAGAAGGGTAGTAGGTAGTTATAAGTTTCTCCTTTTCCTACCAGTTTCTTTAGTAGCACTCAGGTTCCTGTATATGCCTAAGTAGATCGTTACTTCGTCATGTGATTTAGTTCGCCTCTGTTATCGTATTCCGTGTTGTTAGTGTTTAGTACTACTAATTCCCCACCCCCCCTTTATTTTTTCATTTTTATTTTTTATTATTATTTTTTTCCCTCGTCTTCTTCCTTTTATCGCTCTTTCTAAGCCGGGGGTCTATTGCAAACAGCCTCTCTACCTTACTAGGTAGGGTCCCAGACCCTACTGGGTTTGTTGTTATTGTTGTTGTATTTATTCCCCTCTATTCGTCCTGTTTAATAAGAATCCAGCTAAATATCCTAAGATATTCCAAACAAAAACAAATGCATCAAGAAAGATGAACTCGGCCCAGGTAGGAATTACACCAACTAAAAACAGATAGACCAAGATTCATACAAAAAGATTAAAGATTACAACTTTATGAGTCAATCAACCTCTCTATACGAATCATATGTATTTATTCCGCTCTATTCGGCCCATTTAATTAGAATCCAGCTAAATATCCCAAGATATTCCAAACAAAAACAAATGCAACAAGAAAGATGAACTCGACCCAAATTAGAATTACCCCAACTAAACACGAATACACCAATATATAAAAAGTTTAAAGATTACAATTTTATGCGTCAATCAACCTTTCTATATGAATCTTACATATCTATTCTGCTCAGTTTAGTTAGTTTTATAACAATTTAACTATACATAATAGCAATGAAACATGGAGTTGAATTGAACTCTGAATTAAGATATTTTCAAAAATAAGTAAATAAATGCATCAAGAAAGTTGAACTCGACCCAAATCAGAATTACCCCAATTAGAAACAAATACAGCAGGATTAGTAAATAAGGATTAGTTGGGCCGACTATATAAACCATATATACCTATTCTGCTATATTCGACCAATTTTTATTACAATTCAACTACACATAATAGCAGAAGAGAAATGGGGGTTGAACTGAACTCAGAATAGTAAAGAGAGAAAAGGGTAAGTTTACTTACGGGAGAGAAGGGTACGTTTGCCGACGTTGGGAGATCCAAGAATTATGATTCCGGGTTTATTTTCAAGCGATTTATCGTCAACTGTTGGAGGGTTCTGCTGCTGTTGTTGATCCATTTTGGTTCCTTCACTTCCACTGCTTACTCTTTCGTTGTAGTAGATGCGATCGCTGTAACACTTTGTTGCCCTTCTAACATAATTTTATGTTTTAAGATAATCTAACTTTAACTTTAGAAATTTGTATGGCTACATACTATATTTAAGATCACGATTAAAATAATTTTCTTTCTAAATTAAGGTCATTTAAATTGGAATGGAAGGAGTATGATACTGTTTGACTCTAAAAACTTATTCATACCCGTAATGTAATAACATAAACTTCTTTCACTTAATTAATTAATATATAATTACTTAACCATGATAAGTTGATATGGTTAGTGTAAGTATCAGGTACAAATAAAATTTGTATCATAATTCATTAGGCACAAAATTTGAGAAAATGAAAACTTTTGTTGTATAAAGTAATGTACAACTATATATTGTAAGATGATTAAAATTTTATGTCTTTATATGGTAAAACTAAAATATAAATATTAAAGAGTTTTTGAATATAGAAAAATATGCTACATTTATTTTTTTTCAAATTGATAAAATGAAAGTGTTATATAAATTGGAAGAAAAGAGACAGTGCATTAAGTTAGACGGTCTACATCACACCACTTGGATTATTGCTTATGATTTCTGTCTTCTCATATAGAAATAGTGACAGTTTAGTTACTAGCTTGTGAGTTCTGTTTACTTACTGTTTAACTTGCAACAAATACATATATATGTTACATATGCCATTTCCTTTTGTACATTTTTTCACTTTTCAAGTTTAATGGCTTTGGTACTTCAACCAAAAATTCCAAATACCTTTTTCAACTTCGACTTCAAATACGCTTTTTCTCAACTTCAACCAAATATTGGAACGAATCGCCTATTTCAATTTGAAAGCAACAATAAACACAATGTAATCTCACGGGTGAAGTCTGGGAAGGGTAGTGTGTACGCAAACCTTAACTCTTAAGGTAAAAGGAAGGACAACAACAAGCACACCAATCAAAAAGTCAAAGCAAAAATACAAAACTAAACTAGGTACTGCAATCAGAAAGCCAAAACCAAGCCTACTTCAATTAGGAAGAAAGGAGAATAAATAAGTGTATCAATAAAATGTTCAAAAATTAACATCAGATGGTGCCAATGACGCACTGATATCCAAATCTTGAAAGCTCTAAAGAGAGCTGAACTCATAATTGAAGCAAGCAGAAAGACCAAGTACAAAGAGAAAAAAGATAGAATATGGATTACAGTTAAGTGAGTTATCTTCTTCTGACCACAATCTTTTTGACTGATTACTTCTCTTCCTTCTGAAAAAAAACCATCATTTTCGTAGGTGCGCGAAACACCTCAAGTCACGATAAGACGTTTGAATGCATCGACATATAGCAATGCAGATTCCACGACAAAGAAAACAGTAAGTTTCAAATCTCTATTGTAGTTATTCTCTTGCAGCTTGCTTAGCTCCAACGGCGAAGAATTCTGTTATGACTTCAAGTGGCATGCCCTTTGTTTCAGGAACCTTCAAGTAAACGAAGACCCAAGCCAAAGCACACACAACAGCGTAGATGCCAAAGACGCCACCAAGTCCAATGGAGGTAAGCATAACGGGGAGCGAGTAGGTGACAATGATGTCTCCAAACCAAAATGTAAGAGCACATATTGCAATGCAGATTCCACGAACGCTAGTGGGGAATATCTCTGAGCAGAGGATATTTGGGATTGGACCAAAGCCCATGACAAAAGTGCAGAAGTAGACCACAACACTAATGGTGGAGATCACAGCATGCATGACGGCGCCCATGCTAATAACATTGCCAATGACAAGTACGATAAGTGACGCTAACAAGACAGGCAAAGTTGCCAGCAAAAGCCACCTGGAAAAGAAAACAAACAATTATACTTCTCTTAGACGGAAAGTTAAAGCGTTAACAGTGCATGGTTTTAAAAGATTTGGAATCTGTCACATAAGCAGATCTCTCAACTTCAACATGGTCAAAGCGCAAAGTAATAATTGTACAAAGTTGTGCTGAATAAGTGTTGGAAAATAGAGATTTTGGGCCTAGTATACCCATAAGGGGTGCTAGCTAATTAGTTGGCCATTAGTTAGTCTAACTGTAACCCTAACGATGTCTATATGAACACCACTACAGGTGTTGGAAGACATACTAAATTAGAAAACGGCTAGGGTAAGGTTTCTCGGCATCCAATTGAGGGATAATTAGGCTGTGGGATTAGGGGATTCATCTGCTACGTGAGGATTCCCAGCGACCAATAATCCGAGTCGAGATTGCTACAGACTATCTGCTTCCACCAAGGGAAACTACCGTAAATCTCCAAACTAGTGTTTACTCTCATTTTATTACAATAAGTTTAACCATAGTTAGGCCTCAAACTAAAGAAACAAGTCTTTTTAGTAACAAAAACTAGTTTATTGAGAAGGCAACTATGGTGCATGATGAGTAAATCACACATCAAGGATTGAATGTTATCATTTCTAGAGTTACATAAAATATAGCATTAATAGAATCAGGGATACCTTCTGCCAGCAAAGTCCATTAGTCTCATCGCAACAACAATGCTGGGAAGCATTAACAAAGTTGTGACAGCACTTATGAGGAGAGACGCAGAGTCAGAACCGATGCCCAAATTTGATAGCAGAATTCCTACTCCTGCTTGTTCAAGAATTTGAGGAGTGTAATACAGAACCCCGTTGATTCCGGAAAACTGTACAAGGACCAAAGCGAATCAGTAGCTGGATCAAAAGTAAATGTGGTTTGGTTCATATACTTACTTTCTAGACTTGATGCCAGTTTAAACTTCATATACTTCACTGGTTTGAGCATAACATCTGATTAAATAAAGCTTAATAGCAGGCCATTGCATAACAGAGCTCAGAAAATTCCATCACAAAGTCATGCACAGAAGAGTTAATTGTTATGTACTTTATTCTTTGAATGGTGAATTGCTATGCGAGCTGTAACAATTTCTACCAATAAAATCCGAGAGCAAAACAGCTATAAAACTATTTAGTAATCTTAATTGCCATACTTATGCTACCTATCTATAGGAAACAGTAAGTTCATAAAACAACTTTTACCTGCTGAAGTATTTGAATTCCAACTCCGACAATCAATGCATGCTTAACTCCTGGCTCAAATAGTGCTTTCCAGCCTGGCCTCTTTGTAACAGCGTCAGATTGTGTCTCTACTGCTTCTTCTATAGACTGTTGACCCAAGAGGCTCTCTGCTCGAAGAACAGACTGACTCACTAAAGCAGCTGCATGTATGAATTCGCCTTCAGCATGAGCATCACCTGGAAGGGAAATAATGGATCCACGTCGTGATCCAGCGCCTCCTTCTTCATGTAAATAAATCCTTTTGAGTGCTCCTTCCTTTTTCTCATCTTTTCTGTACGCTAGCTGCCAACCACCGCCAATACCCATGCTCGCTTGCTCGCCATTTGCGTGCACGAGATTGCTACCTTGTCTCATGCTTAATGAGGTTGGAGGCCCCATATTTGTTTCAGCATTTGTACCTTGACGTGAGAGCAACGGGCTTCTCAGATTATCATCGGATTCGGCCCCAGAACCATCGGACATATGATGTTCGTCGTCCTTTTGGCTTTCTTCATCCCATTGTTCATGTTTCTCTTGATTCTCCGTTATATTGAACATGCTGCCAACATTTGAAAAGAGCATGCTTCGCATGCTTCCCATCTCCGGAAGCTTCTCATGAACACTGCCAAATAGAGTGACCAACGGATCCATAAGCATGCTTTGGTTTGCCATACTCCCGTGACGTGAAGCCAGACCAAGAGTACTTTGTCCAGTCACAGGTTTGGCTATCCATGAAAGACCCTCTTCGGCTCCATATAACTTGATTTGATCTTTCTCATCCTGGTTGTCGACAAGTTCACTGTCTGGACCAATTATATATTCTTCTATAGATACTTCACCTCCAACACCTAAACCCTCAATTAGCAAGGCCATTTCTCCTATAGATTGAGAAGATTCCATTGGACATTAATATCTTGGTCGAGAGTGTTAAATCCCAAGGAGGACTGATCATTAACTTCAAGAATGAAAAAGTGTAACCTGACCTAAGAACTAAACCTTAAAGAAAAATATTATTCCCTCCATCCCAAATTATGTGGCACTCTTTCCTTCTTAGTCAGTCCCAAAAAGAATGTCACTTTTCATTATTAAGAAACAACTTATCTTTAGAATTCCTACTTTAACGTTAATGAATTGATTTACAGCTACACAAATATCTATGGTTTGTTTCAGACAAGAAGTTTTAAAAGTTTTCCTTTCTTTCTTAAACTCTGTGCTGAGTTAAACACCGCTGCATAAATTGGGATGAGAGTAGAATAATTCAATGGAAATACTGTATGCTTGGCAACAAATAAATGAGAAAAAACAAAGCAAGATTTCACAAGGCATAGAACCAACACATTATCTGAAGTGCATGAGTATATCTCCTGAAACCTAGTAAGCAACCCCAACCAAACATAGGGCTTTGAAGCGTGTGATGAAGTTGGGACGGCATTCAATTTCTTAAATCAAACAATTTGACTTTTTTCCATACATGGGATATGCAACAGCCTACAAAGTTCCTAAATTCTTTATGTTGGTTACATTTATATTATCTCGCGGCAGAGGCGGAGCCACATAGCTCCAAGGGACACCCCTTCGTTGGAAAAATACATTATTTAGATAGGTAAAAATTACTTATTTTTTATGTATATATGCTATGTATTAAATCCCCTTGAATTATTCGTACATTTACTTCGTTAAATTTTGACACCCCTTAATGAAAATCTCGGCTCCGCTACTGACTTGAGGTACTAAAAGCTAAGAAACCAGTACAAACTAAAGAAGCTGCCTTAATTTCAACGAAATCAATAGCAAATTGGGGTTAAAGCTCTAGCAGAAACTTCTTTATTTTTCTCGACAAGTAAAGCTTTAAAACAAATTTCTATCTTATGCATAGTTGATTCTTGTAAAACAAGGCATTAAAAGAAACATTGCTGATTACACAAAGACTGAGAGTGTCACAGATTTAGCTCAATTGTATGTTAAAACTATTCTGAGGAGTAAATATATTCTCTGGTACAACAAAGGAATAAATTAA